AAGTAGCTGGGACTACAGGCGTCCACCACCATGCCTGGCTAATTTTTTTGTATTTTTAGTAGAGACGGGGTTTCACTGTGTTAGCCAGGATGGTCTCGATCTCCTGACCTCGTGATCTGCCCACCTCGGCCTCCCAAAGTGCTGGAATTACAGGCATGAGCCACCACGCCTGGCCGAATTTTTTAAATTAATAATAGGATTAAATGAGATAATGAATGTCAGGAGCTTAGCACCCTGGCACGTAGTTAAGCACTCAACACTTTATTTATTTATTTATTTATTTATTTATTTACTTATTTATTTTTGAGAGGGAGTCTTGCTCTGTCACCCAGGCTGGAGTGCAGTGGTGCAATCTTGGCTCACTGCAGCCTCCGCCTCCTGGATTCAAGCAATTCTCCTGCCTCAGCCTCCTGAGTAGCTGGGATTACAGGCATGCACCACCGCACCCAGCTAATTTTTGTATTTTTAGTAGAGATGGGGTTTCACCATGTTGACCAGGCTGATCTCGAACTCCTGACCTCAGGTGATCTACCTGCCTTGGCCTCCCAGAGTGCTGGGATTACAGGCATGAGCCATCGCGCCCGGTCACTCAACACTATTTTTAACAATATTATCACAATATTACAAATATTAATATTGTTCATCTTAATTTTGTCATAACACCTCCTGGCTGCTCAGAGCAGAGAAAGTCAGTAGGACTGTGGGGTAGCTGGATAGAGATACCCCATCCTAGAGCCTCTGCTCCTACACCAGTGGTTTTCAGCCAGGGATAATCCCCTACATTGGGGACTTTTTTTTTTTTTTTTAAACCGTGTCTCACTCTGTTACCTAGGCTGTATTGCAGTGGTGCAATCTTGGCTCACTGCAGCCTTGATCTTCCGGCTCCCACCTCAGCCTCCTGAGGAGTTGGGACTACAAGTGCATGCCACCATGCCCAGCTAATTTTTGTATTTTTTTGTAGATATAGGTGTTCACCATGTTGCCCCAAAGTGCTGGACTACAGGCATGAGCCACCCATGCCCAACTGACATTTTTTAATCAGTATGACTGGGGTTGGTGGTACCCCTGGCATCTGGTGGGTAGAGGCCAGGGACGAAGCTAAGCATCCCACAATGCGTTGGTTGGCCCCTACCGTGAAGAATCATCTAGCTTGAATGTCAAAAGTATTGAGGCTGAGAAACCTTGTGCCATCCTACACCTGTGTATGTGCCTAGCAGCAGCTGGCTCTTCAGCCAGCTCATTATTCCAAAAGAGACTTAAGCTTGGTATCCAAAAGCCTCGGCCTCAGTTTCCTCATCCAGCAAATGGGAATGCTGAACCCTGCCTTATCTGCAGTCATTCTATCTCCTGATGGTTGGCCTTCTTGGACACTTTCCTGGCCTAGGCTATCTCTACTGGTCCCTTTCTATCTTTCCCCCAGGTGCAAGGAAACCCATCTAATTGGCTTTTCATTTGTTTGACTTCTGATATTCGCATTCCCAGAGTGGCCTCTGGGGCCCCACAGTCACCATCTGAAACCCTGCAGTGTGAGTGCCCCAGCCATCTCTGAGTACCCCTGTTATTGTGGGTGGCAGCTGCTAGTCTTTTTCCTTTGAAGCACACCTTGACATGTGTAACTTTTCTTTTTGTGTGTTGACTTGTTGGCTGTATTCCTCCCCACATGCCTCCACCCTGAAGACAGACACCAAGCCTGCTGTGCCCGGCACACTGCACAGTGCCTGGCACATAGTGGGCATGCAGGAATGTTTTTGTGGGATCTATGAGGCGAGAGGCAAAAAGAGAGGATAAGGTGAGGGGATAGATACAGAGAACGGAGAAAAGGGAGAAAAGAAATAGAGAGGAGGAGGGAGTTCAATGAATGTTAAATGCTGAGAGATCTAAGTAAAGGAGAAAGCGGGCGGGGCGGGGGTCCAGACTGAGACTTGAGCTCAAAGTAGACAAGCCAGAGAGAGAGAGAGAGAGGGATGCGAAGAAAGATGAAAAGGGCGGAGAAGAGAAAGGAATGGAGACACAGAACGAAAGAGAGAGACAGGCAGAAAGAAGGTGCAGGCGCAAAGCAAAAGGAAGAAAACCTCCCCGAGGCCTCAGTGCTCAGGTTGCGGAGGGGAGGAAGACCGCCCGCGGGAGCCTGCGCGGCGCGGCTGGAAGCGCCAGGATGCAGACGCGGTTTCCATGGAGACGAGGATGCTCCCGGCGGGAGCCACCGACTGCTGCGGGACCCGCGCCTCTTGCACCTTGGGAGTGGACGGTCAGAGAGGAGGCGAAGGGACGGTGTGGGTTTGCCACCTCTTCTGACTCTTTCCCACTCCTGCCTCTTGCTGGAGATTTAGAGCCCGGGAATAGGGAGGCAGGAGCGCACCAGCCTGGGAAAGGGCCCTGGGGACTCCGAGGGCGGGGGAAGGACTGGGGCTGAGACCACTCCTCGCCCTGCCCCATTCCCTTCCTTGGTGTTTGACCCTCCTTTCCTTTCAGATAGGGTCCTGGAGGGTCTGGCAAAGGGCAGCGCTATGTGGAGAGATGATGGCCAGGCCTTCTCCACAGGCCCCTCTTCCTCCTCCTGCCCTGTTAATGCTGGAGCACCAGGGCTCAGTCCTAAGCCTTCTGTTCGGTTTCCACCATGTCCAGTCCTCGGGATTTAAGTACCTACAAGTGCCCACAGTTCCCAAATTTGCATGTCCAGCCCTGGCTTTCTCCTGAACTCTGGCCTGTTCAAAGTTGCTAGTTGGTTAACTCATCCAACTTGTTCCCATCACAGGGCTTTGCTTTTGCCATTCCCCTTGGCTGGAACTGTTTTCCCAGCCCTTAGGTGGTGAGTTCCACTGGACTGGATAATTGATTTGGAGGAGGAGCACTGGTGCGGGGAGGAGCCCTGCTGCAGTGCCTGTTTGACCACAGTATTGTAGGGGGAGCCTGCATCTGGAAGAGGAGCACGTGTTGGGGAGAGGGGGAGGATTGGCTGGAATCTGGCAGTGCCACGATGGGGAGGAGGGCCCACTCCGTTGGAAGCCAGAAGAGGCTGGAGCCTGGGAGCATTCCCTCCACAGTAGATGTGGGAGGGAGCTGGCACAGCCAAGGGCCCCTTCCCACCCTGGGGACTATATGGGCCAGGTGGACAGTGGGCAGAGCTGACCATTACCCCCACTTTGCATCACTGTCATCTAAAACCCAGGCTAAGCATTCCGTGGGCCTGGTGCAGGCTCAGGATCCCCACGGTTCCAAACAGAGCTCTATGGAACCTTTGGGTCTCAGACACAGTAACCCAAATGCTGGCAGGACTGGCAGTACGAGGGCCCCATCAAGCTGGTGACACAAAGCTGGTGGAGGGGAAGACCCCATCTTCACAGTGGCCTGCTGAATCCGGGGGTTCTGACTGCCCTGTGACGCAGCAGCTGCCACTCTCCAAGCCAGTCAGTGTTACCAGAGGAACTCAATGTGCTCATTAGCTCAGGCATGGGTCTCATCCACTAGGCTAAGTGCTGGCCAAGGGCCCCCCCGGGCTGGGACTGGGACAGGTGGGTTGCTAAATCCAAAGCAGGTGGATGCTAGCTAGGGAACCATTGCCAAGGCCCTTCTGAGCCTGCCCCTTCTCTTCCTCTTTGCCTTTGTCCCCCTCACCTGAAACCAACTCTCCACATTACTTTCTTATTTGTGTAATTATTACTTTGGGCGTCATAGCTGGTTTTGATAACAGCCAAGATTTACCCAGAACTTACTGTGCCAGATACTTTACATTTTGCTGCCTTTCATAATCTTTACAACCATTTGAGGATGCCATCATTGTTCCCATTGTACATATGAGGAAACTGAGGCTTAAAGGTGAAGGAACTTGCTCATTGTGGCACATCTAGAAAATAGCTGAGCCAGGATTTGAGACCCAGCCTTCTTAATCGCTTTGCTATTACGTACCTCTCCCCACACTACGTTGCAAGCTCCATGAAGCTAAAATCCAAGTCTCCCTACCCCCTAGGCCTGGTCTAGTGCCTGGCATATGGCAGGCTCTGGATAAATGCTACCTGAGTGCCTGGCACTGTGCAAAGTGTCTTACAGGCATTACTTCATTTAATCCTCCTAATCACCCTGTGAGGTAAGTACAATGGTATTGACTGACACAGGCCTGTTCAGGTTCAGTGGCATCCCCCAAGGTCATACAGCCAAGCTAGGGGAAGAACTAGGCTAAGTCCTATCATTGGCACTTCATAGTCTGTGCTCTTAGCAAAGTGCTCAACTGCGTGAATGAAAGTGTATTCCAGCATCCTGAATAAAAGGAAAACGGTGCCCAATAAACATTTGATGAGTGAAGGACAAGAATTTTAAAAATAACAATGAGGGCGGGCGTGGTGGCTCACTCCTATAATCCCAACACGTTGGGAGGCTGAGGTGGCAGATCACTTGAGGTCAGGAGTTCGAGACCAGACTGGCCAACATGGTGAAACCTCATCTCTACTAAAAATATAAAAATGAGCCAGGCATGGTGGGAGGCACCTGTAGTCTCAGCTACTTAGGAGGCTGAGGCAGAATTGCTTGAGCTGGGAGGTGGAGGTTACAGTAAGCAGAGATCGCGCCATTGCACTCTAGCCTGGGCAACAGAGCAAGACTCTGCCTCAAAAAATAAATAAATAAATAAATAAATAAATAAATAATAATGAGGATGGGAGAGATGGGAGAGGGAGTTGGTCCCGATGCTAGAGGAAGTTGAAGGAGGTGGCTGTGGGTGGCTATGTTCTCATATTCCCAGAAGGCTTCCTGGAGGAGTTGATCTGATGGGGAAGGGAGAGGGCGTTGCAGGTTCCAGAAAGTTTCTGCTACCCGTCCTAGACCTCTTTCTCTCTCTCTCTTTTCCCTGCCCCTGCCCTCTCTCCCTCTCTGGAAGTGGGTAACAAGCACGTGGTTGGATTGACTTGCCCGCAATAGGGTGGGGCCCAGACTGTGGACACTAGGGAGTAATGATCTTTTCTCTTCCTTCCTGACCGTGGTGGTGGGCCCGGTGCTCTGCCCCTCAGCTCTGTGCCTCGTCCTGGGCTGCATGATCTTTCCTGATGGCTGGGACGCCGAGACCATCCGGGACATGTGCGGGGCCAAGACAGGGAAGTACTCCCTGGGGGACTGTTCAGTGCGCTGGGCATACATCCTGGCCATCATCGGCATCCTCAACGCCCTCATCCTCTCCTTCCTCGCCTTTGTGCTGGGCAACCGGCAAACAGACCTGCTGCAGGAGGAGCTCAAGCCAGAGAACAAAGGCGAGTGTGCTGTGGGCTGGGGGGCAGTGGCAGGAGCCAGGCCTGCTCCTGGGAGGCAGGATAATTTCAAATAAAAGGAGTAAAACGGTTGCATGAATTGGAAACCCTGGCTGGGCGTGGTGGCTCACGCCTGTAATCCCAGCACTTCGGGAAGCCAAGGCAGGTAGATCGCTTGAGCCCAGGAGTTCAAGAGCAGCCTGGCCAACATGGTGAAATCCCCTCCCTAAAAAAATACAAAACACTAGCTGGGTGTGGTGGTGAGCACCTGTGGTCCCAGCTACTCAGGAGGCTGAGGTGGGAGGATGACCTGAGCCTGAGAAGGTTGAGGCTGCAGTGAGCTGTGATTGTGCCACTGCACTCCAGCCTGGATGACAGAGAGAGAGGCTATCTCGGAAAAAAAAAAGAAAGAAAAGAAAGAAAGAAAAGAAAAAAAGAAACCCGACTGACAGTACAACCACCTTTAAAATGATTTGATGTTCTCCCTCAGATCTGATCATTTGCCTATGACCCAGCAAACCCACCTCAGGTACAAACCCATGAGAAGCATGCAAGGGCGCTGGTGGCTGCAGCGTCACTGTAGCAAACAACTATAAACAGTCGAATGGCCATGGACAGGAGGCCGGATAAATACATGTGGCATGTTCACATCACAGAGCAGCTCACAGCTGTGAAAATGTCACACTTCAGTTATATGTACCACAGTGGACGTATCTCAGCAATATAATATTGAGAGAGGGGAAATAAAAACAAGTTCCAGAAGATGACAGAGTGAGATATTTATTGAGCTCGAAACTAAGCAAAACTAAGCAATGTATTGTTTAAACACACATGTACTTGTGACAGTATTTTTTTTTTTTTTTTTTTTTTGAGACGAAGTCTCACTCTGTCACCCAGGCTGGAGTGCAGTGGCACGATCTCAGCTTACTATAAGCTCTGCCTCCCAGGTTCACGCCATTCTCCTGCCTCAGCCTCACGAGTAGCTGGGACTACAGGCGCCCGCCACCATGCCCGGCTAATTTTCTGTATTTTTAGTAGAGATGGGGTTTCATCGTGTTAGCCAGGGTGGTCTCCATCTTCTGACCTCATGATCTGCCCACCTCAGCCTCGCAAAATGCTGGGATTACAGGAGTGAGCCACCGCGCCCAGCTGTGGCAGTATTTTTCTTAAAAAAGCAAAGAAATAATAAATATGAAAGGTAGGATGACGATCATCTGTGGTTATGATGGAAGGGGAGGAAGTGAAGTATATGAGATGGAGCATGGAGGTATATGCAAATTACTGGTAGAGTTAGAGTCCTTTTTTTTTCTTTTTTTTTTTTTTTTGTCTTGAGACAGAGTCTTGGGCTCACTACAACCTCCAGCTCCTGGGTTCAAGTGACCCTCGTGCCTCAGCCTCTTGCTCTTGAGTAGCTGGGATTACAGGCATGTGCCACCATACCTGGCTAACTATTGTATTTTTAGTAGAGATGGGGTTTCACCATGTTGGCCAGGCTGGTCTCGAACTCCTGGCCTCAAGTGATCTGCCTGCCTCAGCCTCCCAAAGTGTTGAGATTATAGGCATGAGCCACCACACCTGGCTGAGTTATAGTTATTGAATGGTGAGCTCATCAGTGCTTACTATTGTATTTTTTTTTAAGAGATTGGGGGAGGGGGGTCTCACTCTGTTGCTCAGGCTGGAGTGCAGTGGTGTAATCATAGTTCACTGCAGCCTCAAACTCCTGGGCTTAAGCAATTCTCCTGCCTCAGCCTCCTGAGTGGCTGGGACTACAGGCATGCGCCATCACGCCTGACTAATTTTTGTATTTTTTGTAGAGACGAGGTTTCCCCATGTTGCCCAGGCTGGTCTTGAACTCCTGGCTTCAAGCAATCCTTCCGCCTTGGCCTCCCAAAGTGCTGAGATTACAGGTGTGAGCCACCTTACCTGGCACATTGTATGCTTTATAATTAGTGTATTGCATATAAACTTTCATATACATCAAGTGGCATTAAAATACAATAAAGAAAAAAGGCCACGTTTAGAGAACTCCAGAGCTCCAGTAACTTGCCCAAAGTCACTTAAGTGGTGAAGGCAGAATCTGAACCCAAGTCCAAGTCCAAAGCCCAAGCTTCTCCCCCTTGTCACGCTGTCTGTCTCAACCTGGTGAGGCCAGAGATTTCCTGCATGGCTTTGGGAGCTCTCCTGGGAAGCTGACCTGCTAACCTGTACTCAGAGGCAGGTTCTAAATAACTGACGCAGTCCCTCAGACCCCGGGATTTCTGTGGTCTTGGTGTGAAGTCAAGGCCTGCCCTCTGGCGGCAGCTTCTAGAAGTGCAAGACTAAGACTGAGATCTGGCCTTTATCAAGAAGGGGTGTGAGGATGTGACTGACGTGAAGTGGGCCCCCTCAGTGTCCCTCTCCTCCCTTCCCAAAGCCCCTTAACAACTTAGTGTTAAAAATCGATGTAAAGGAGCCCCAGTTTTCCTCCCTTCAGTGTCCAGGGAACCTCCATCCCTCACTGGGAGTTCAAGATGAGTGAGCCTCCCACTTCAGTTTTAACCCAAAGACCTCCGAGCCAAGAGCCATGGCGCGCACCTGTGATCCCAGCTACAGGCTGAGGCAGGAGGATCGCTTGACCCCACAAGTTCAAGCCCAGCCTGGGCGATGTAACAAAACCCAGTTTCTATTAAAAGGAAATATATAATTTTTTTTAAAAAGAAGACCTCTGGAACCAAAGAAAAAATAAATAAAGAAATAGCTTCCATTTCCAGCATATTCTATGACCAAACACTGCCAAGTCCTTGGCTGTCATTATTTGTCTCTTTTTGACCCTTCGGAATTACCCTGTGAGGTAGGCTATGATCCTTATTTTGCAGATGAGAAAATTGGGGCTCAGAGACATTAAATGGCTTGCTCATGGCCATCCTGCTGGTCAGATGAGGCTGGGATTTCAGCCCTTGTACAGTTGGCCCCTCTGACATTTTTTAGTTAGTTAGTTAGTTTGTTTTTGAGATGGAGTTTCACACTTTTTGCCCAAGCTGGAGTGCAGTGGTGCAATTTTGGCTCACTGCAATCTCTGCCTCCTGGGTTCAAGCGATTCTCCTGCCTCAGCCTCCCTAGTAGCTGGAATTACAGGCATGCACCACTGTGTCTGGCTAATTTTTTCTATTTTTGGTAGAGACAGGGTTTTGCCGTGTTGATCAGGCTGGTCTTGAACTCCTGACCTCAAGTGATCCACCCGCCTCAGCCTCCCAAAGTGCTGGGATTACAGGCGTGAACCACTGCGCCCGGCCCCTCTAATCACTTTTGCCCTGGGGAATGTGTAAGGAAAGCCCGAATGCCCAGGCAGCCTCTGATTTCTCTAATTCTCTCTCCCTCTCTCTCTCTCTTAGATTTTGTGGGCTCTACAGTAAGCTCCGTGTTGCGGCCCGGGGGTGATGTCTCTGGATGGGGAGTCCTTCCCTGCCCCGTGGCTCACTCACAGGGACCCTGAAAGGCCAGGATCACAGTCCAGGAATTGGCCTGACCTCAGCTTGTCCTGCCTCCTGCCCTCTCGTCACTCCATTCAAGCTCTGAGGGAAGACCCTGATCTCAGACTCACTTCTCACCGACTACCCTGCGAGCTCCAGGCTTTGAGGAGAGGAAAGCCTGGATGTGGCCTGGGGGAGAGGAGAGGCCCTCCAGACCTTGGGAGGGTCTAATTCTTGCTCCTCCCTAAATTTGACCTAAGGGAGGCTGCATCCACCCAGGCCCTTGGGCTTCTCCTCTCCTCTCTAGACTGGCCTGGAGGTCCCTGCAGATCCCCAGGGAGAGGAGAGCTATAGTTCCAGCTCCCCAGGCCCCCTCAGTCTGGAGGGCTGCTGCCTGGCTGTATCCACACCTCTTCTGGTCCCTGCCTCCTCAAGAAATTTATTCTAGATACTGCCCCAGGGTGGGCTGGACTCTTTCCTACTTTTTTTTTTTTTTTGGCTGATGTTGGTTCCACCACATCTGCCACAAAGCTCCAGGTGCCACCAGTCTCCCCTGGGACCTCCTCTGCCCCATTCCAGCCTGCTTCCAGCTCACGCAGAGGGAGAGCTGCACCGAGGGACCACACAGGGCCTTGCTGTCAGCCGCAGACCGGTTCCCTGATCAGCCCAGAGTCAGAAAAGACCTTCAGGCTCTGGAGGCAGCTGGAGGGGGCAAGTGGCTTCGGCAGTTGGAACTTAGAAGCTGCTCAGCCTGGGCTGACCTGGCCTCCTCTTCCTTTCTGCTGGAACATCTCACCGACGACTGAGCCCTTGACCTTGGCCTGTTTTGCCCAGGCCTCCTCTCTGCTGGGATGTCTCACCAATGACTGGACCCTTGACCCTGGCCTGTTTTGTACAGCACAGACTTCTTGGCCCTGTTGTCAGGGTTGGGGGGTATGGAGGGGACCCCAGAGGTGGGGAGTTGGGGGATGCATTACCCCTTCTGCCCCTTTTCATGCCCTCCACACCCCAGGCATCTACCAAGGGCAGAGACTGTCTTGTCTCTTTGATACTTTTCTGCATAACTTGAACTTGCAGGTCATCTCTGAACAGGGTACCCCTGTCCCCTCTCCTAGGCCTTGTTATCCTGTCCCAGCCTCTTTGTCCTCCTGGCCCACCTCTCGCCTTGCGATATGCCCAGGGTCTGCACCTGTGGGCAGTGCTTGGAGCCGAGGCATGAGTGTATGTGTATGAGTGAAATGTGTGTGCGTGTGTGCGCGTGTGAGAGTGTGTGTGTTAGGGGGGCAGGTGAGAAGTTTCTCCCCCCTCCTCCCACTGTGGGAGCGACTCCCTTCCCCTTGGCAGGGAGCAGGTGAGGGAGACTCCTGGTATGTTTTGAACACCCCTCATTCCCCTATGGGTCTGGCAGCAGGGCAGAGCCTCCCTGCCCTGGGGCCTGGACAGCTCCCCTCAGCACTAGTTGCTGGTGCAGACCAGCTTCGTCCAGCGCCCCCTCCTCATGGCCTGGACCCACAGGGAAGGGGCAGTGACCTGCAGGATGCTGGGGGAAGCTGCCTTGGACCTCGGAGGAGGGGAGAAGGTCGCTTGAGTGCCATGTGTTTGCCAACCTTGTGTTCATTTCCACAAGACTTGGACCTGAGAGGGTTTCCAAGAAAGACCCTAGAAGTCCCCTGCCTCCCCACTCTGGACCCAGCTGGAATCAGATTCTGGGGCCTGGGGGGTTCCTGCCACGTGTAACTTACCAAGTCCCAACCCCACTCCTCCACTTACTCCTCCTGGGCAAACGCCTCCCCGCAGTGCTCTGGTCCCAGCGCTGGGCTCCCCTTCCCCCGCAGAGCCTTCCTGGGCAGTCCAGTCGGCCTGGGATAGGGGTGCTGTGGGACAGAGGGTCCGGGTTAAATGCGGGAGGGTGTGGGAGCCCTGTGGGAGGGAGTGGGGGTAGGAGGGAGTTCCTCAAATATGCAAACCAAAGCCCGGCATTGGAGGGGAAGAGCAGAGCTAGGAGAGAGTGAGGGGAGGGGCCGAGCAAGCGACTGGGAATGGGGGAAGACACTGGGGTGCGGAGAGGAGGGGTGCAGAGACAGGGAGATGAGAGACGATTGGAGAAGGAGCGAGGGGGATGGAGAGGCACAGAGAGAGAGAGCTCAAGGAGAAGAGATCGAGAGAGACAGGGGCAGAGGCAGAGAGAGATGAGAGACCAGCTGAGAGGCTGCCGGAGAGCTTGGGGTGGGGGAGGGGAAATGGACAGAAAGGCGGAAAAAGGACTCAGGAGCGGGGAAGAGGTAAATGGAGATGTGGGTTAGGGGGCAAGAATGGGATGCAGAGGAGGGAGGGGAGGATGAAGGAGTCAGGATGTGGGGCAGTGAGGAGGGTGTTTCTGTCTGGGCACTGGGTGAGGGGAGAGCTTGTTCCCTCAAGGACGCCTGCTACCAGGTGTCCTTGCTACACCTTGTTCCCCAAGGACACCCAGCAAACCTGTGCCCTGGTGAGGGGGTTAGAACTGACCCCTCAGAGGCTGGAGGCCCGGGGCACAGGCAGCCAAGGCCACATCCTTTTGGGGAGGCCTGGAGTGAGGGAAGCCACTTCAGAGGGCAGAGGGGGTCCAGCTGACTTAGGAGGGGGTCAGCGCTGGGTGGAGAAGAGGGAGGCCAGTTCCCTGGTGGGGTAGCCTGGCAACATTCCCATGCCACCGCACCTGGCCAGCTGCCATCTTGGCAGAGCCAGGGGGAGATGCACCAGGGAGTCTGGGGTCAGGAAGGCAGAGTTGTGTGGGCTGAAGTCTGCGGGAACCCCAGGGTGACACAGGCAAGGGGTAGAAGTCAGAGTGGGGACCAAACCATAGACCGGGGCCCTGGGTTCTGCAGAGGTGTGGATGGGGTGGGTGGCAGGTGCTCCAGTGGTGGGTCCCAGGTGAGGCCCTAATGGCTCTCCTGGGGCAATAAAGACGTCATGGGAAGGGGGCTTTGTGGTTTGCCTCTGCTATCGTCAGGCAATCTGGCTTTAGCCTTCAGGAGGAGATAAGCAGAGGAGATCAGTGCCTGTTTCTGACCCCAGGAGGGCCTTTTTGGGCTCCAACCTAGAGCCTTCTGGCTTCAGGTCCCAAGAGAAGTACCCCCCCAACTGTGACCGGATCAGGGGTCTACCACTGCCCGATTTTCTCTGCCTGATCTGGGGACTCAGGAGAGGCCACGGCAGCCACAGCCTAGGGGTGGTTCAGTCCCTGGCCCACAGCGTTGGTCAGTTGAGTCCTTCTGGGAACTGGGGCTATGAAAATTTTCGGCTTTGAGGACAGGTACCCATGGAGGAAAACTTTCCTGAGGGGTTGAGGACCAAAGAATCAAGATCCTTTTCAAGGCCTGCGATAGCCAAGATGATGAGAACTTTTAGATAAGGCTGTGGGGAGAGTCCCTGGCCTTTTGAGCGTCCTACTTGGGCATGCGGGGAATAACCCTTCTCCAGCTTCCAGTGTGAACTGAGAAAGGGAAATCCTGCCTTTGGAGAAGCTGGGATCTTCCCAGCACCAGAAACTTCTGCAGGCCCCTGCCTGGCTCACGGCTAACCTTTGGGTGGGACTGGAGTTTCCTGAACAGGGAACAAGGGAGCCTTCCGCAGAGCTCTGACAGGCAGGCCTCTGAGGGCCTTGCTGTGTGCTGTTAGGATAGCTTGGTGTTGTCTACACCCCATTAGTAAGTTCTGTCTGAGTGTGTCCTCGCTGTTCATTGTCTAATTTGGTAACATTTATTTTGGTCCTGACCCCTTCTGCTGCTGCTGGGTTTGAGCTTCAGTGCAGGTGGAATGACATTCAAATAAAGAAACACTTTCTATCACCCATGCTGGCTGCCACTTCTCTGAGTCACTGGGATCAAGAGGGGTAAGATTCCTACCCCATGGATCAGCTTTGGCTGGTATTAACAGAGCCCTACTACTGTGGCTTAACAAGATAGTTTATTTTACCAACACATTAAAAAAAAAAAAAAAAAGCCTGGAGGTGGGTAGATCATGGCTGATATGGCTTTCAGTGTTATCCAGAACTTAGGCTCCTATCTTTCTGCACTGCCATTTTCTTTCTTTCTTTCTTTCTTTTTTTTTTTTTGAGATGGAGTCTTGCCCTGTCACCCAGGCTGGAGTGCAGTGGAGCGATCTCAGCTCACTGCAAGCTCCACCTCCCCGGTTCATGCCATTCTCTTGCCTCAGCCTCCCCCGAGTAGCTGGGACTACAGGCACCTGCCACCAAGCCTGGCTAAGTTTTTGTATTTTTAGTAGAGAAGGGGTTTCACCGTGTTAGCCAGGATGGTTTCGATTTCCTGACCTTGTGATCCGCCCTACTCGGCCTCCCGAAGTGCTGGGATTATAGGCGTGAGCCACCGTGCCCGACCTGCACTGCCATTTTCAATCCTGCCTACATCCTCAAGAACACCTCATGGCCCAACGTGGCTGCTGGAGCTCCAGTCACCTGGTCCACATTTCATCTGAAGACTTCTGGAAATTCCATAGGACTGTGTCACATGGGCCACATTAACTGTAAAGGAGGCTGAAAGCATGTGGTCTGTTATCTCGGCACATTGCCAGCCCAAATAAAACAGGGATTCTTGGCTAGGCAAGGTGGCTCATGCGTGTAATCCCAGCATTTTCGGAGGCTGAGGTGGGTGGATCACCTGAGGTCAGGAGTTTGAGACCAGCCTGGTCAACATGGCGAAACCCCGTCTCTACTAAAAATACAAAAATTAGCCAGGCATGGTGGTGTGTGCCTGTAATCCCAGATACTCGGGAGGCTGAGGTAGAACTGTTTGAATCCTGGAGGCGGAGGTTGCATTGAGGTGGGATGGTGCCATTGCACTCCAGCCTGGGCAACAGAGCAAGACTCCATCTCAAAAAAATAAAGAAAAAAATACGGTTCTGTTACAAAGGAGAAAGGAGTGAATAGAGGGAGTGATACAGTCATCTCTGCACACTTCTGACAGCACAGGTTTGACTTGTCCAAGTCCACACAGGCAGAAAAGAGTGGAGCCTCGTTTGCTCTAGCCAGAGTGCTCAGTCCAGTCACTTTGCCCCTCCCTAAAGCCCCACTGAATAGAGAGAACAATAGTGACTCCCCGCAAGGGAAGCTGTAAGCAACACACCAGGGAATGTGTGTACATCGCTCTGCAGAGTGTCTGGCATGCTGTAATGTGCCCGATACCAGGTAGCTACACTGAAGACTTGGAAATCAAGTCCTCTTTCAACACATTTTAAGCACTTAGTGTATGCTAAGCACTTAAGCTAGAAAAAAAATGAGCAAAACAGAGATGCTGTCTTAAGCATAATTCTGGCTGGGGAGATGAACATGTGAAAATAACACATGACTTGCTACATGCAGGGTATTGTGGGTGTCCTAGGCAGGGACACCTTAAATGGCTTTTGGTGACGTGGGCAGTGTAGGAGTAGGTCTTGTTGTAGTACGAGAAGTTA